GAAATTAAAATGTTACTGGTCATTCACAGAATACCACGGCCTAGGTATTTCATCACTATATTTCAAAGTACTTTACAATGAAGGTAAGTGCTACTGGTCCCATTTACTCAAGCATAGGGAAGCAAAGCAACTTGTCCAAGTTACCCAGTAGGACAATGTAACAAGTACATAGAAAGAAGGAAGGGTAGAGCTGCACCTTTATAGACTACTAAAATCAGGGCATAAACTTTTGTAAGCAGAGGGTTTGCTTCATCAGATTCTGTGAAGGAACTGCAGGAAGAAGAGCTGCTAAATAGAAAACAAATGATTAGAATACAAAGGGTAAGGAAGGTGGGGACAAAAAGGAGGGTGCATGGCCTAAGATAGGCAAGGTAGGTAGGAGAGAGAAAAAATAAAAATCAGTTAATCCACTGAGGGGACACGGGGTTTATAGTAAAAGTTAATTCAGGTAAGAGCATAAGAATCCATAGTCTTGGTTTAAACCTAGGACAAGTCCTCCTGACCAAAGAGCAACTAAACAAGAGAAAAAGGACCAAAACAGTGTAGTGCAGATTTTCTCTCCTAGCCACCATACTACAGGAAGTATTGTGCAGACAATTACAACATAAAACATTTAAAGACAACCATACCTGTATGAAGCTGAACCCTCCCTAGGACTCCTTCTACCAGACCAAGACAAATAGGATTCCAAGCCAGAAGAAGGTCAGTGGCTGCAAGGAGGTGGGGGGGAAAAAAAGGAGGTTAATTAAAAAAAAATCTGAAGCATAAAAGTTGACACAGTATTACAGATCCAACAAGTTACATGCACATTGTTCAGGAATTTTTATAATACCATTGCTTTTATCATCAAACTATAACAGCCTTTAAAAACAGCCAGCCCGAAAGATTCCAAGTTACCAAAACAGGATAATTTCAACCAGAACAGTCAGTTGGTTTCTTTCCAAACTTCATGACTAGCTTAAAATGCATGCCTCAAAAATTTTCAATATGCTGTAATAAATCATCACCAGCTTTTACAGTAAATATACCTCTTTGATTTCAGAAATAACAAACATCTTAGTTAATTCTAAGAATACTGAAGTTTAAGATTTTAGATTTTGCATTAGTTGTGCTAACACCCCTTAGGTTTTTTTTTAAATGCCTCTAGTAGTCAAGCAAGTATGCCAACGCAAAGCCAAGTACCTATTAGTTGCAAAGTTACATCATTCTGTCTTGTTATAATTATATGATGGGACAATATTTTCATATTTTATCATGGCTAACTGACCAAAATCTTTCAAATCAGATGATTCAATATCAGACTCTGATATCAATGTGAATTTTACAGTGTAATTAAATAAGACAGTTATAGATATCGAAACAAGGACGTTAGGCTATTTACTCAGTTGGATGGTTATTATAGGAACTCCTGCAATAAAATATAGTTATAAAACTGAATTGACGATCCCTTACGTCTACAAAAGTACTGAAGTCCAAGCATTGTACAGCAAAGGTGTGGACACAAGAATGTTTGGAGCCCTTTTAAAAGGGGAGGAAGCAGCTGGTACACTCCAATTGGTATGTGGGAATGAGCTGCAAATCATTCAAATGCAGCAAATCCCCTCCAACTTTAATCCTAAAGGAAGGAATGTTAAAACTGGAGGGTTTACTGCATTTGAATCATTCCCACCTCATTCCCACATACCAATTAGAATGCAACAGCTGCTGCCCTCTTGAAATATTCCCCTTTAGAAAAAGGCTCAAAGTGTGGTATGCCTACACCCTCAGTGTTTGAAACCTCCTGTTTTAATTTAGAGCTGTCCTTTATTAACAGATTTATTTTTATTCTTGTCTCAATCATTCCCAGTAGCTTACACAAAATAACTTAGTTTGTGCCATAACCAATTTATCTATTTCCCTTGCTATCACATGGGGTGCACTGATGAAAGCCAGTATTTTATTTGCATTTAAGTACATTCTTCTCAAACTGCATTCCTAAGTGACGTATGATAACAAATGTCTCACTTTATAAATACTGCTTTACAAAATGGCACTCAAAGTCAAAGTCAAACTTTTTATTTTACCCCAAAATTCTCAAGTACAACATAGGATTTTGAAGTCTTATCCTCCATTTCCTCTCAACCTGGCACCATTTATGTAGAAGTAGAATTTAACAAGTTCCATAATTAGGACTGACATCCCTGATAGGACTATCAATCCCTAGTTAAAATCTGATTGCAGACCTTCCACACAAACAAGAACTAAGCTGCATCTCCAAGACTACAGACACTGCAATTGTCCCAGGATAAGCCATTATATGCCAAGACAAAATGTGACCAATTCCAATATCTATGCCCATTGTCCCAGGATAAATTCTAAAAAGGTTCACCAGATAAAAAATAACAACATTTTAATCTTGGGACATTGCACAATGCATCTAAACAGTTATCCCAGGATTGCATCACTGAGTCCATAGCAGAAAAGCAGCACTGCATTCAGCCACTGAGGCAAAGTACAGACAGTCAAAAAGCCCGAGGAAAGTCGATTCAATCTACGCAGCTTCCTCTAATCTTCAGGGACTGAACTAATAAGCAACTGAACTGACATTCAGTTTTCATTTGGGAAAGGCAGGGGGAGGCCTGTGCTGACCCTGGCCAGTAGGCAAGGGAGTGCATCTCCCAGTCAGCTGGCCATTGCCAGCCCAGCCAAGTGGGGCCATCCAGGACTGACTCCCCAGTACATGCCACCAACCCCTACTGTTCCCCCACTCCAAGGGTTGAGAAGCCCCCTGGTCCAGGTGCTAGTTCACCTTGGGGAGCCTCCCCCTCAAGGGGTTCCCCAGCCTGGGGCATCCCCAGGGAACTGAGGAGAATTCTTCCCCTCCCAAATCTCACAGTTGCTAGTCTCAGGCCTGCCAGTCTCATGGACAGCCTGGGGCACCCTCACGGGGCGAAATTCTGTGTAGAGCCTGGCTAGGGGGTCTGGCTGTCTGTTCCCCTGCCCTACCCCATGGGCTGATGGATGCAGGCAGGAAGCAGGCTATGGAACAGAGGGGTGGGGCAGCCCCTGTTCCACTGAAGCAGACAGCACAGTCCAGGGCTGCAAAGCTTCCTGGGATGCTGGGGGACCATGAGTTAATTTGAACCAGCAGGGGATCTGGGACAGAAGTTCCATAAACTGGTTTGAACGAAATCACTTAAGTCTGATACTACATCCAACCAGATTTATCTTAAACCAGTTTTGCCCTTTTGAAAGCGGTTTATGTATACTGAAAGTCTGTTCCGTTACAGGTTTAAACTAGTTTCCAATCACTTAAACCAGTCTGTGTGCAACTTCTGCCCCTGGACCCTGATCAGAAGGGTGACATATGTACATGCCAATCCCAGGATATTTCTGTTGCAGGACAAAACCCAAGCAGAACTAATCAAATGCAATATCTCTTCCTAGCTCAGTAGATTTTGTCTATCAACAATCCACACTACTCTGTCCAGGTCAGCTGACAGCAGCTCAAAAAGTTATCTAGGGTCGCTGTCTCCTGCTTTCCCTTCGCACTTACCGGGTAGTCTAGCTATAATGAAGAACGGGAAGTAGTTGAAGAGGGAGGCAGGCAGGGTCAAGTATGGGCTTTTTGAAGTTGGATAGACTAAAGAATACTCATATTGCTTTAAAAAAAAAATAAAAAGAGCCACAGGAAAGCAAGAGATTAAAGAGGTCAGTGAGGGAAGAGAGAGCAAAGGAGATCAGAGGGAATGAGGTCACTGGGAAAGATGGAGGAGCCATAAAAGAACACTTGAGAAATTCCTACCCCTGCAAGGTGAGGAAGGAGAGGTTGAAAGAGGAAAAGGTCATGGTATTTTCTCAAGTTTATCTTGAAATGTGTGAGATAGGCAAACTGTGTGTAGAGACAGCTGTGAAGACATGAAGATGGGAGGGTCCAATAAGCAAGTCAGAAGGACACAAGAAGTCTGTGAGGTTGCAATTATGGTGGAGAAGTAAGGGTTTTTAGCTAGGGAGATGACAATCGAAAACAGGAAAAACATGTTCAAAAGGAAGAACGTTAATTTTGTCTAGGGACTTGGTAGAGATGTTCCATGGCTGAAGAGCCAGAGCAGAGGAAGCCGACAGACGTACCCTGCCAAGATTCAGAATGGAGGACATATTTTCCTAGGTACACGTTGGTTTTACATTCTCTCTCAAAAAAAAATTTTTTTTAATTAAAAAAAAAAAAAAACCTCACTCTGATACACAATTTCCACCAACATTTAGCTTTGGGTGTTTTTTTTAAGTTCCGAGCTACTACTTTGTTAAAACTGTACAAAAACGTTCCACTGCAGATTAACATTAAGATGCTGCTTATGAAGCTCTGATTTTATTTCTTTATAAAGGTGCAAGTTTACACCTTGTCTTTTGCCTAACATCAGGCAATGCCATTTTCTCTGGCATCTGTTCAGTTTTCTACAGTGGCTTCTGACCCCAGATGCTTACAATTTTCTGACTACTGTTATTAATCTAAAACAACTTACTTTTGGCTGCACAGTAATGGCAGAGCATGCCATTCCAACACTTCCATCTATGCTTGTACAGACACTTATCACCATTCTGAAACATATGAAATACCTTCCCACCTCAGCAAGCTATGGGAAACTAGGACCAAATAAAGTTTTGCATCTTGCTCTGAAAATGCTAAAAATTCATAATTAATTACCCTAAAATATTCAGATAGTAAGATGCAGATTTCTCTGCTACTAACCTAGAAAAGACGTCTTTGTCCACAAATTTCATTCTTGGTGAATAACAGAATGACAGTGCCAGCAGGACAACTATCCAGAGAATGTCATCATTGTACAAGGAGAAAGACTGTGCAAGTAACTCAGCCCATTACTACAGGGGGCTTTTATGCTGAATAAGATTAAGTGGTGCGCCTGAGTCCATCCCTAATGCATAATAGGGAAGTTCTGCTGAACTGGGACCTTTAAAATAACGATTTGAGACTAGGACACTGCACTTATGGCGATTACTGACAGTACACCAAGTAACAAATTGGGGCTTTGCTTAGGGGATAAAAATGGTAAATTAACAGACAATGCACAGTAAGTATAACTTTTTACATGTAATCTCTCTAAATTTATGTGTTGTTGCTTTTTTTTTTTTTTTTAAACAGGAAAGGAAGACTCCCAGTTTTACAGCTCACTCTCAGTTCCTGTTTTCTTACAAGAACAATCATAATCGTAGAAAGCAGGTTAGGGCTTTTAAATATCAGTTTTAAAAGTTGGGGAAGTTACTTGCTTGGAAACAGGATCAGAAAATGTGGCTGGTAAACAGAAAGAAAACCATGTCAAAGTGTTTCCTTTTCACACTCCTTGCTGAGCAGCTAGAAAGTGTTAATTTGCAAGAATTATCAGAGTGCATTATAGAACGGGTCTCACAAAATGCAACAGCAATCGTTGTAGAAACAAATCCTTATTAACTCTGCTCTCCTATTTTCCACCTTGTAAATGCAAGGTAGTCTCAGGGATCAATAAATTATCCATTTCCTACCCACACATGTCTACCAGACTCGAAGTCAAGGTCTGATTATAGGCCCATGTTTATACCCTTAGGATGCTTTTGCAACCCTGCTGAAGGCCACACACTCCATAACCTCACCTGTACAATTCAGTAAAATATTGATTGTAGTTATTAAGCATGAGTAAAAAAAATTAAACTCTCTCTTAAATCCCAGGCTGAGTTA